ACCACTTGCTCATTCTTGAGCTTTATTCTTCAAGTAAAAAGGCAGCAATAAGTTTAACGAAAGATGACCACACTTGTGCAAGTGACACGCGCACTGTTTATTATATTCAATTCCTTATAGCTCGGTTTGCCAAGTAATAATAAGCCACAACAAAGCAGATAAGCTAGCTGAAAACCGTGGAAGTCAGTAGTTAATAAAATGTTGCATCACAATAGCTACACTAAAATAGTATTACCTTGTTAGGTACAATGTAATGTAATTTCGATTTGTAATTTGAGTAACTTACAATAAATTCAGTTGTAGTACAATTAGTGCAACATTAGTGATTAAAATAAAGGCATCTCAATACTTTCTATTAATATTCTCTTTCTTCATATCCTTGTAAAGAGAATCTCGGCCTGTTTTTATACGTGAGTCTGAATTTGAAATCTTAGAATCTCAATGATTAAATTATATTTCGGCTGTTTGTTAAGCTTACGATTTCTACGCCAACTCATTCATTCAGACCCCACTCATTTTATTTCAAGCAATTATTGTTTACTCTTTTTAGTAAAATCCAACTAGTGGTCATTATCAATGCTACGTTCTGATTGGTTGAGCTACCACTAGGCTATATGTTATAGCCCCCTAGTAGCGAAAAGCGCGGGCTTTTTGGCGGCAAAAAAGGATTAAAGTCTAGCTTTTAACTAGCTAAAATTCATTTATTTTCGATATTTTTGACCAGCTAGTTGGATTTTACTAAAAAAATTATTCCTCTCGCCCTCATGGCCTCTGAGCCAATAGCCCATTCGGCCTTCGGCGTCATGGGCTATTGACTGAGAGCCCATTCGGGCTCGAGGAATAATTGTTAAATAGTATCCACACTTGAAATGCATAGAAGTGTCGTTGTCAGGTTTCAGGTTTTACACCCTTTGAGCCTAATCAGTGAAACCTAAATGAAAGATATCGTTGATGTTTGTGTGTGCATGATAGGCTCGTTTATCATTTTTTTTTACGATACAGTTACTTTGTCATTAAAAGGGCTGTGTCACGACTGTCTAAAATCATTTTGTTACTATTGCCAATTACAAGTCCTTATTCGCAATGGAACTTGAATTTAGGAAAGAAATTAGTTGCAAATGGCAAAATCACTGCTTCGTGTTACATCAAAGTAACAGACAAAAAAATGATCTTTGAAAAACTTTAAGGTGGCTCGATACAGTTTCTTAGGGTGAATACCTCCCACGTTTGAGCGTAAACTATGTCGTCATAAACAAAGATTTGGAAAAATTAACACCACAGTTGTATTAGATAAAGATGAAACTTTGTTATGATCAGGGTTGCAATGACATCGTAGTTGTCATAGCAACGAAATGACGCCATTACCTATTTTACTTGCAGCAGTATATCTCGGCACTGGGAACTGTTCTTCCAAAATCGTTTACTAGAGCTTTTTTTTTTCCTACAATAGCCGCCTCGATGTTCGTGAAGTTTAAGCGAAATCTGTAAGAGCGTTATCGAGATATTTTGGGAAGAAGTTTTTATGTTTAGAAATACGGTAAAAATGGACAGTCTTGATGTTCGACTGTTATCTGTGCTAAACAAGCGCTTTTGACATGCAATTTCACCTCATAGTAGTTTCAGTCTTTTTAAAAACGTGTGTGAAAGATCATGGAATACCTCCAGCCGATTGCTAGAAAAGAAGGATTTGATTAGTATGTATCCGAGCGCTCTTATTAGAAATATGTAAACATTTCGGTCTACTTTAACAAATTAGCGAATAATTTTTAAACCGCTCGATAAATTTTTAAAAAATTTAAAGTCTTGAGAAAAACTGTCCTTTATATGACCTCTTAGTTTCAAGATTATTGATATATTGTAAGGTAGTAAAATAAGGGCTTCAATTCGCTAATATTTTGTCAGAAATTTTGTCTTTACAAGTGAGAGTCTCTGATTATTCAGGGGTATTGTGTCAAGGTTTCATTTTCACGTGAACAGCAGTAACTAACAATGCACTTGACATATGCAAAAATGCTAGCTATTGTTGTGCACGAAAATATGAATTTTGGAGACAATAACCCTGAATAATGAGAGGCTATCACTTGTAAACACAAAACTCTTGACAAAATATTAGCGAATTCAAGCCCTTATTTTACTGCCTTACAATATATCAATACTCTTGAAACTAAGAGGTCATATAAAAGGACGGTTAATCTCAAGATTCTTAAATTTTCTAAAAAATTTATCCCGCGGTTTAAAAATTATTCGCTAATTTGTTAAAGTAGACCGAAATGTTTACATTACTGCTAAAAAGAGCGCCTTGATACATACTAATCAAATCCTTCTTTCTAGCAATCGGCTGGAGGTATCTCCATGATCTTTCACACACGTTTTTAAAAAGATTGAAACTACTATGAGGTGAAATTGCGTATCAAAGGCGCTTCGTTTAGTACAGATAACAGTCGAACATCAAGATTGTCCATTTTTTACCGTATTTCTAAACATAAAAACTTCTTCCCAAAATATCTCGATAACGCTCTTACAGATTTCGCTTAAACTTCACGAACATCTAGGCGGCTTTTGTAGAAAAAGCTCCAGTAAACGATTTTGCAAGAACAGTTCCCAGTGCCGAGATATATTGCTGCAAGTAAAATAGGTAATGGCGTCATTTCGTTGCTATGACAACTCCGATGTCGTCGCAACTCTGATCATAACAAAGTTTCATCTTCATCTAATACAACTGCGGTGTCAATTTTTCCAAATCTTTGTTTATGGTGACGTAGTTTACTCTCAAACTTGGGAGGTATTGACCTTGAAAAACTATATCGAGCCACCTTAAGGACAAGTTTTCAAAAATTCACAATTGCAATCCGTCTCAGTCGTCATCCGTGCCTCCTATATTGTATGTGCTGTGTTATTTATATTTTCTTTTAATATTCTGAGGAGTGATTTTAATGTTTCACTCAGTTTCGTGACTGTTCCCAATGTTCAAGTTTTGATATATTTCGTGACACAGCTCCTTTATTCGCCGCCGCCTACTGCTGGTCTTCATCAGGCATTGGTGCCGATTCATTTATTGAGCTGGACTATTACTTAGTACCACCGTGGTTGTCTGTGATTTTTGTGTCACGAATCGTGTTCGCGGCTGGCAGATGTTGATCCAGTAGCTATACGACGCTTGTGACTCACACAACTCTCAAAGCAAAAAGTTTAACATGGTATTTACAATCGCCGATCGAAACAGCCCATTACTAAAACGTCCATTACACCTAAGCAAAGGAGAATTTACCCTCTGTTGTTGTCTCTGAAGGTTTCCTTATTCGTTAGTATAGTAAACATCACGAAATCCAAGAAACAGTCAGCTGATAAAGAACCCAGCCTTGAAATTAAATCTACAGCTGTTCTGCCTTAGGACGAATCATTATTTGAGGCCGCTCTCCGTCATTTCCTACAACAACATGGCAATCCGCCTGTCTTCAATTCCAACACAACAGTTGGATGGCGCTATTAAAGTGTTATCTAAGGATGCTATTGACCATCGAAAACAAGATTAACCAGGTTATAAGTTTCCTTAAGAATGCGGTAAAGTATTCCGCTCTGGGACAAGGTACATTAATTTTATTTTCCGACACTATCCCTGATACTCTCGTAAGGCAAGAGGAAATCAAAAAACGACCCAACCCTAAATTGATAAGGACACTTAGAGTTGGGATTCTAGAACCGTAGTTGCCTAAAATCAGCCAATACCGCAACCGATTGGTATGCCAGACAGCTGAAGGAATAGTTTCTAACACAAACAATGCTAATGTTGTAAAGAATCGAAACCCACCAACGATAAGTTTGGTTCGCAATGCTCCAATCAAAAGAAACTATGGTACTTCCAATGGCTGCCGTATCTATTTTGGTGTTCCAAAACAATGGAACATGGGCCATGTTACATTGTTGCCCACTTTCAGGAGTTGAACCCTCTTTATTTTTTTCTAATATATTTGCTTAGATGCTGGCCACATGAGTTAAAACTTTGTATGGTCTGCTCAGTAAATCGTCAAAGAAGACCACAATAGGACTATTACTAGGGCCTCTTGGTCGACATAATCACCTCATGAAGACCAGTAGTAAATGTACAGAGGGTTGTCCAATACTGTCAACGAGACTCTAGTCGTATATCCTTCTTTTCCACTAGAAAACCGGGGCCCAGTTGTTTGAAAGCCGATTAGCGCTAACTCGGGGCTAAATTTTAATCCAGGTTTTTTTTTCTTTTGTTCAAAAGCATTTTCCCGCATCATTTTCTCTACTTTTAAAGGAGCATCCAACCACATAGGTGTAGACAAAAAGAATTAAACTGAGTTTGCTGTTAAGCTTTAACATCTGAATTCAAATTTCTCAATATCTCTGGGTTATCTTAACTCAGCATTGAACAACTCGGCCCGGGAGTCTAGTCGAGTCCTACCTAGACACGAATAGATTCGTGCGATTCTTAGAATCCCAGTCATGTTGTATAGGATGCTTAACAAGGTTTCCATTGGACGCGAGTAGATTCCACTAGAGATCTACATTTTTTGTTCGTGAAAGAAAAAAAACAACAAATCCCCTAACCAAATCCAGCCAAAACGTTGGGAACAAGAGACCTTCATGACATAAATGGTAAATGCGCCTATCGATCATAACTTGATTTTGTTTAACTGTCACACGTTCGTTCAGAATGCAAAATTAACTACAAAAATTCATAGTTTAATTATTATTATTATTATTATTATTGTACAATAAGCGATGTCATTGCTGGATACGAAGATGGTTAAACGCCCAGCTCAAAGTAAAACCTACGACGAAGCTAGCATTGTTAGCCAACTCAGACACTCCGCGTTCCTTGCGAACAATTTTTTCGATATAATTTCTTACTAAAAGTAAAGCCAAGCTTCTTGTCAGTTCAAATTCACCATGACGCTTTTGTACAGTGTCTTGAAATTGCTGTTCACGAAGCTATTCATTTAAAGCCGCAATGTATAAACAATTTTGCAAGTTTATTTACTTTCTTTTGGTTTTACCTCATCGTCATTTCTGAGTGAAACTTTGTGGCAGACATTTCCTGTGTATGTTACCATGACAAATTTTCCTTTCTCCTCTTGAATTGTAAGCTTTAACTTCATATTACATTCTTCACGCTTGCACTCCCCAGCTCCTCGGAAAAACGGCGCTGAATTCATTTTGCGGGAGTTTGCCGCCCGCACGTGATTATTCTTGAAGCGCAAGCTGCACCAGGGGTTGCTGTTTCTTATTCCACGCTTAAATATCGTGGTCCAGGCCCCACCCAACAGACGACCACCACTTGGGAATTCTTTGATGTCTATGAGTTCCCACTCTCTTTTCGTCAGCTTGAATTTTGCTTTCTGGCCATCCAGGTCAAATCGAAAAAAGCGTTCCTCCTCGTCGTCAGAAATAACCTCCTGCGACAAAGGAAAACGTAAAACGAGCAGTGAATCTGCATTAATTATCAAATTACGCCATTCCCGAGGCTTTATAGTAACACCAGACTTACAGAGCTGTTCGGGAAGAAGCAATCAGGTGAAATCTTTGTTTGTTTGTTGTTGTTGTTTGGTTTTTGCCTACAATGCTCTCTGAATTTCGATTTGTTACTCTTTCACTTTCCTTAACAGCTTCTCTGTGCACAAGTTCTAGCTGGTCGATTAAAAACGTACAAACTTCAGAAGGATGAAACTATGTTATCACAATTTGCAGAGCTGTCACCCGTTGTGTTGGTCATCGTAGTTTACAGAATGTTTTATTTAAAGATATTTTTGAAGAGAGAGACAAAGCGGAACGGAAAGAATAGCCCCCCCCCCAAAATTATTATTATCATATTATTAAACGTTCCTGTTTATTCTTAACTATCGTATTAGTTTTCAAACAAGAGCCATAAAATGTCTCTTGTTTTCAAAGGATAATCGAGACGCAAGTACAGTCACTAAAAACATGTACCTCTTCTTTTTATACACTGAGTTGTGACACCAACTGGCCTTTGGTAGGAACTTCTCACTTAAATGGGATATTAGTTATGTGAAGCGGTTAACAAGGACGTGGTCCAGTGGGCGGGGTTAGTGGGTGTGGTCGACAAAGAGAAATGTGAATGGTAAGAGGGGATCAACCTCATATATGTAGTTTACACGATACAATGACAAAACATGTTAATATATCATATAAAGACTGGTTTTGCTTAACGCTTTCTAAAATTCATCCCAGAATTTCTTTCCCAGTAAAATCTTTCCGAGTGACTCAGCGTTATAAATCAAATGGACGGTTCGAATTCGTGTAGTTTGGTCACAAGAACTATAGGTACAAGATTGTTGCAACAGTAAAGGAGCGGCCCAATTAAATTAACAAATGACGAAACAAAAATAATGTCCTCGGCGTGGTGCAGAAACCACTTAAGATTACGCGCAAAATTCAAGTTATCAACAGCTTCCAACTGCAAATGCAACTCGCTGTAAATCATTGTCATCTCTCCACCTTTCCAGAGTAAAAAAGAGAAGAGTTTTGGATCCACTGACCTTTATCACGTACCCATAAGGATAAAAAGACGTGGATGAGTGGAGCATCTACAATTTGTTGAATTTGTCTGGGACTAGTGGTCACTAGGCCCCTCACACGTTTGCGCGTATAAATCAGGTCATGTTTTTCGTTAAAATAAAATGTCATGTTCTAGTTTTTTCTTGCGTGGCATCCTGAGTTTCGTGAAACTAAATCGTCAAGGTCACGTTGGTATCTCCTTACCAATCACTGGAACACGCCCGTGTGAACTAATTCATATTACGCCCTAGGGTGTGTATTAAAGCTGGAGAACTATGAATGTTATCATGTTCACAAAAATCACCAAGGTGTCAAATTTATCGACAATGATCCTAGTAAACAAAACACAGTTACTTTTGAAAGCACCGAATTTGACAAAAAAAATTAACACAGCAATTAATGAGAAAAGCGTGAACTAACTGTATACGTACAACGCTGTTGGCGTACTCCTTTCCTTGGATGTTACTGTAAGGCTTGTCGCTTTCTTTTACTGTCTACCAAAGAAGAGACGGAAACATACCCATTTAATTTATTACAAAAGGTTCCATAGACAACATCTCCCATTCTTACCTGGTTAATTTACTTTATCTGTCATCATTGACCGTAATTGTGTCATTCCCTTATGATTATCATCGTCTACCACTTTACACGGGAGAAAACATTGGTGAATTGAAAAAATATATGGGGAGGGTAAACGAATCCAAAAAAATGTCCCAATTACTAGCACCACAAGCTTGTGGGGAAGCAGGAGATAGGACAAACCCCAAAACACCTGTTTTGGAGGCTACACAATTCCATAAGAATAATTAATAGGGAATCAAAAACTTAAAGGAATTAAAAAGGATGATGAACTGAGCTCTTCGTAGTAGAGCAGAGGCCATGTCCTGCTAAAGCGGACGTTTGCCCTCAAGGTACTATTCTGCTTTCTAACGAACTATTATTAAAACTTCTCGCCGCTGTGAACTATGTGGGTACCAGGTGTCGGGGGTATTTGACCAGCTATTTTGACCATGAGGTACAGCAATCCCAACTGAATTAGTTTCTCCCCATACTCGGCTCCGGGGATAAGAATTTAAATAATGGAATTTTTGAAAATTCACCGAGTTTAATACCCGAGGGGGCCCGTAGTGGAGATCACGAATCAACGGGTACATTAGAGAGTTTTAGATCCGAGTTTGCCGTGAACCTCTAACCGCGGTTTGCGGTTACCCGTTTGCGGTTCGACGTTAACACGTAATTAGATTTAGATGGGCGGTGGATTAGATCACGGCCCCCATTTTGAATAACCAGCCATGAATGGCACTTCTTGCTTTCAAGATTCCATAGGAATTATCAAATATAGCATTTCGCCCGAATTTGTGCTTCTGTTAATGGATAAAGACCTGCTCCACAAGATTTTTGTACCATCACGTGGGATAAAACAAGGATTATACGCTAAACGCTTTCAGGTAAATGACATACGTGAAAACCTACCTCCCCACGTTGAAAACGCACGTCGTAAACCTCAAACGTGACGCGAAAGACTTGTCACGTGACCTCCAGCGGTAGAGGTTCGCGGTAAACTCGAATCTAAAACTCTCTATTACCTCAAACTTGACTGGTGTATGTATCACATTTGATTCTTGATGGTTTCTATTCGACACAGGAGCCATGATAACGGAAGGTCGATCCACATTGTAGACTGGGTTCAGACACAGTTGATGGCACATACACGGGCAAGTTGTGGGACAGGGCTGCGAAACAATATAAATGGTTACCAATAGGCCACTTGCACTTAGAGGTCACTGCTTCCTTTAAACAATGAGTTTGAATCTTGCTGGTGCCAAAAATTGACAGAGCACGTAAAAACTATTTGAGAGGAACTCATTTAAGGGAGATATTTTATGGCTCTTTGATTTTTCGACAAAGTAGTATGATTTGTATTGGCCGCCATGTTGGACGTCAAACTCTTGCCCTCCAACATGGCGGCCAAAACTAATTTTTGCTTATACCTTGTTAAGAAAGAGGTGATTCATAATTTTAAAAACCACATTTTGGTCACGTGGCCATCTACGAACTTACTCATTTTAAGAAAATGGTACGGGTTAGAAAAGTCTCTGGCACCCAGGGTAGGGTTTGAAAAACCAGATCACTATTATTTTGTTTAAGATATGACCCACTATTCGTTTTTTGAAGGCAAAATCATAAAAAACGATGTCATATGACATCTTATAGTGCGAATGTCCTATTACAAATCATGAATCTGGAATATTAAGTCGTATCTGATTAGCTTTAACGTCCCGGCTAATTATTCCATCTGAATTGAGGGAAGGGGCGGCTGCAGGTGTCGGTGAAATTTCATTACTTTGTCGAAAAGGAGACATTGATTCTCGATGAAAATTGGTACACGGCTGTAACAATTCAACAAGATGATAAAAACGCAATGTAAGTGGTGTTCGCCGTTCTCCTTTAAACGAAAAAATGCTGACGAATACGGCCATTTAGGGCCTTTTGACAAAAATTGTGCCCAGCCTGAAACTGAACAAATAGGAGCGATTTTTTCCATGATGTGTGTGGTATCGTACAGAACTTGACTTGAATGCCCTTATTTTTATCTTACCCTCCAAAGTAGACTTAATTTGGATACGCGCTATTTTACCCGTGTTAGCTCAATCCGTACAATTCAATGAAATTGCCATTCTTTTTTCTCATTGAAAGGAAGCACTGTTCTTATGAAGATTAAAATATAGATTTAGCCGGGGCTGAAAGCAAAGCTCCCGTTAATAAATTTTTAATTTCAATCAAACAGTAAACTTGTGGTGTCATGTGATACTGGTCAGCGGATATTCGGTTTTGGCAGCTGTCAATTGACCACAGCATGGATGCGCAGTATCAGGTTGCATGCTCCCACGCTAACTAGAAAGTGTAAGATTTAAAATTGGTTTCCATTTGTTGCGGACGGACTACTGGGTGCCCGGACGGACGGTCACGTGACTACCAAATTTTTTCGGACGTATAAATAACCAAATTTTCTTAGCTATAGATAAAAATAAATGAGTGACACCGTACTCTTTTTTGCAATAGAGCAGTAGAAAGTACTTATAATAACTGCATTTTTAAAAAGTTTTGAGAGAGAGAGGCTTGGGCCTGTTTCAAAATGGCATGTATGTGGAAGGTGGAAGAACACACTGAAAAATCCGTTTTTACAGAATTCACTTTAAAAATATCATAGTTAGGGCGTCATGTGACAAAGATGGCGCTTGAATTAATATTAAAGTGATTCGAAAAAAGGAACACCAGTGTCGAGGGTCTCGCCGGTCAGGAGGTCGAACTCATCAACACGCCTACCGCCAGTTTGGTATGCACATTTCCAGCACATTGAGTCTCATCTAGGCCAGAAACAACTGCAACGGAAAATCTAATAACGTCTCTCTTTGATCAACTTCATTTTAATAATGTTTCTTCAGAAGATCTTTTTCACGGCGACCATCTTGTTATGCAGGGTGAGAGATGCGCAGTACAAAACCAGCGAATTACCTTAAATTGAACTTGTTGATCTTTTTCGGTTATCAGTAAAATACCCGTTAATAACTAAAAATGCAAGATGATTATTACTATCCATTACGTTTTTCACGTTCTTCAAGTTTGAGCTCCCTACAGAGTTAAAATTCGAAATAATTCATTCGATTGCACTTAAACCTTTGACAATTAATATACGGCTGGTTTGTTTAAGTAACAAGATTTTGAACTTCAATTTTGTCATGTTTGTTAATAAGTACCGATAAGAACCAAGTATTTTCTTGATTCGCGTATTTGTTTTCCCGCCCATCTCAAAGGCATCAAAGGTAACTAACTAGGGAGGATAATTGAAGAGACAGAGAAGGAAACGCCCGGTCTACTGTCTTTTGGGAAATGTATAGTATATACCATAGTAAACTCCCCGAGAGGACGCCGATCTTTGACATTTTGCACTTGTGCTTTTACGGTAAGATGTTCTGTGTTTTTTTTTTTTATTGACGGGGACTGCTCTTCGTGATCTTTTCTACTTTTAAATCTCAGAAATGAAATAATTTAGCATTGAACGACCTAAATTGATTTGAAGCATGATGCAATGACAAGTGTGTGACGCTGAGGTTACCGGTGGCACAGTCTGTTCTAAAAATATCACATTTGGCTATTAGGATGTCCGAGCCGCTTGGACCCCGCGCTTGCAGTCTCCTACTCCGATTATGGTTCCTGCTATCTAGTTAGAATTAGATAACATCTAGTTAGAATTAGATAACATCTAGTTAGAATTAGATAACATCTAGTTAGAATTAGATAACACTAAACAGGTATGTTGTCCGCCCTCACACATGACATGATATGAATTCATAGGATCAGTGTTGCCCGGATATTTTGGGTGCTTGTTGTTTAAGACGAAAAACGAGATGAAGTGCTGTTTTGTACTTCCTTGACCGCGAAGTGAACTAGATGTACATGGTTTGGAAAAGTGCCATCTGATTCACTCGTCAACACTAAGTACCGTAAATCCTCTACTAAGTCCCTTCTGTAACTTCTTGTACTTGAGCTTTTAGAGTTTTTATTCTAGTTTACATACCATCATCTAGGCTAAATTAAATAAGCTCGCCGTCTCTATTAAGCTCCTACCTAAAATGCGAGTGGGGGGAGGGGGGGTTAATAGAGGATTTACGGCAACCAAAAACGGCTTCATAAAAACAATATGCATGCTTGCTGGCACTTTTTTATCTAGTTCTATTTTCATTCATTCATTTGTTCCCTGTTTCTCTCCTTCTCTCTCTTTCTTTTCTTTTCTTTCTTTCAGTTTTTCAGCCATTCTTTCTGCTTTTTTGATTAATTACGTAAATGTTACTTTTTAATAATAATAATAATTTTTTATTAGGAAACTTTCATCACATCACTGTGGTCTTCAGAAAGGTCCTAGATGATTAAAAGTAGTAAATTAGACTACTATACGAAATAAAAATATATAGAAAAAACTAAGTTAAAAATTGATAAAAAGCCACAATAAATACAAAAATTCGTTAAATAAAAAAGCTGCTAAAATTCTACGCTTAAAATTCACAGTGTCAGGTGCGTTTCTACTGTATTTGTCTAAATTATTCCAATCTTTCAGAGAATGATAACACACTCTCTGTTCACCGCCATTTTTGGTTGCTAGGGGTAGTCTGAGCATGTCTCTATTTCTTGTGTTATAATTATGAACGTTTCTGTTTGCTAATACACTCGTAAACATAAATAAAGCGATGGTAAAATCTACGTTGTTCTACAATCATACACAAAAGTGTTGGGCCAGTTAAACGGTTCGAACGCTTTTTAACTCACGCGAAATTGTATCGGCGCGCTGCTAACACTGCACGTCCCTACCCCTTACCCCCACCGACAGTGTTGAAACCATCAAAGCACAATTCCTTTGATCTTTCAACATTGTATTGGATGGGGAAGGGGGAGGTTACGTGGATTTGTAAAATGACACCACTGCTTTTCACGACATTACTTGTGATACACATAGGATTACAGTTATGCTCTGACTGTCCCAAGGACTTTAGTCCATGATTGTAGGTTTAAATTTACGAGCCAGAGCATCAGTAGCTGACGAATAAAGTTATTTCGATACTCTTCAGACATGGCACATCATTTTATCGTGTCACCTATCCCGATTTATGATCGAAGATCGCTAGTAGTGATCGCTGGTAATGTATGTACTATTTGTGTTACGAAGGAAGATGTGTAAACAAGTCGACCGCAAATATCTCTTTTGCCGTGCAATTGAAGCAGCCTCAACCTTTAGGGTCCAAACTGTTACAAATCGTGTCATAACTCAGTTCAGAAACTTCATCTCGTGGTAGATTAATAAGATAACAACACCAAGAATTTCAAAATCAAGTTCATCATTTACCAAGTAAGTGGCTACTAGGCAATTGGTGAGAGTGAAAATCGTAGAGCGTCAGTAAGATTTTGTTTAACTCTTTTTTCAGTCAATTATAAGATCAGGGAAGCTTATATACTTATAAATCAACAGGATTGATATATCAACGAAAATGACCGTATGTTGAATTTTCTGAGTATCCAGGCGGAAGACTCCGAGTGCCATTGAACGAGTAGTTGTTACAGCAAGTGCATGGATAAAGAGATTGATCAACATTAGCGTCTCCGGTCCAGTCGTTAATTGTTCGGCCCTTGAATACTATTGCGGACTATTGCGGTGAATCATTGCTTGCAAGCCAAAGAAAAAGGGTCTTAGATGAAACAATAAAGAAATTAAAGAGATGCGAGAACGGCAATGTCGCTTATGAAATGATACCTTCCACCTCCATGATAACCTTAATTTTCATACCGCATGCAAAGTAAAACAACTTTATGCTAGAGGAGTGACTACTAAAGCCCCTGTGAATGATTCTTAGGTGCAAGACTTCGCGTTTTTTCTAACTTTTCCTGCGTGGCAAAGTCAGTGATATAACTTTGGATCATAGTACTAAAAAATAGCAAGCTATGTTGAGATTTCTGATTCTAAAACCAAATTAAAGATATGATACAATCGAACCCTTCTTTCCTTTGTGACACCTCATTCTGTAGAAGGTGACAACTTTCTATTACGGACGGTTCTGTTGATCCCAAAGATATCAATTACTTCTTTCGTACACTTGTTATCCCTACCTCGATAATAAGGACACTTCTATATACACGTAGATTAATCCTTTTTATGTTCGTATTGGGGGGGTTTCATTTAACTGAG